GCGTGTCTGAAGTGAAGAGCAGTCCTTTCGTGACAATCATCGCTCAAAATGGACTCAATTTGTCGCAAATAACGGATCGTTTGGTCGCTTATAGTGTGGTCTTTGATATCCATTCAAAACACCAAATCATGAGTTGTTTTACTGTTTTGTAAACATTTTATGGCAACAAAACAATGTGTGCTTTAAATGCCTTAACGTATGACAGGTTTGCCATTAGATGTCACTCTCATTACAACCACTGTATGGCTAATAAATCGCCGCTTTTTATGATTGATTTTTTTCTTGTGTGCCGTAAATGTGTTTCGCCTTATATTATGTTATATTATATTTAATTTGCGAAATGAATTGAAAATTCAAAAGTAAATTAAATATTTTTAAAACTCACACTTTTTTGTCGACTATTTATTTATTTAAGTTATTTAAAGTCTCAAGACTTGGTTTTTTGAGGCACTCTCTGGCGACCAATCGCTTCGCTCCGCTATTTCTTATAAGAATACTGTATGTGTTTTTCATTATAATATTTATTTGAAAGACTACTCTATATATTACATGAATATTGAGAGGGGAATACATATTAAACATATTTGAAATGTTTAGCATATTTTCGAGAATAACTTGAGTCTGAAAACAAAAAGCAAGTGAATAGTGGGGTCGCAAATGTCATGCAATGGGATGAGTGTGTAATCTCTATCATTATAATGATTGTACGAGTTTTGAGAGGAGAGGGATGTTATAAGAGTCCCACACTGTCTATGCATTGAGCGGTTAAAGCGATGAAAAGTGGGGCTAACTATCATAACTATGATATCACTGTAACTTTAAAAAAGCAAACACTGATCACAATGTCTAACGATTTTGCGATTTAAAGAGACTTTCGGAACATTAAGGATAAGCTATTCTTTTAAGCAAATGAGATGTGAGTCCTAGCGATGGGTCTAAACAGGCCTTCACTTGAGAAGTAGATTGAGTTGGCATTAGGCATATCATCCAGAGATAAAGCTATACAAAGAGAGTGGCAGTGAATGCACAGCGAGTACTGAATTCACTACAATTCTCATCCCATTCCCGTCTATAGACTACTATATATTAAAATCACTAAAATATGTATTTCCACTAAAATTTTTGAAAGCCATGGCTTTACATGTCTTACAATAGAGAACATTGAGAACAAAGATAAATAACACATATTTCCTCAATGGCTACGGGAATGGCATAATACCAGTGATGATCATCTCTGGTGAATATACTGTGGCAAAGCTGTGCCACTTTCGGCAGTTGTTTCTCAAAGCTATTATCACTTTTTGGTCGTATGTTTTTTAATGGCTACCACTTCCCTACTACTGTTCCCTACTTTCCATACTTTGCATGTTTTAAACTTGTGCTCAAGTTTTGCACATAAATCGTAGGGATTATTGAAAACAGTATAAAAAACTTTTATGGCGTAAAACATGATAAACAACTGCTAACGGCTGGTCTAACCATCACTGATATCATATGCTATAAGTGCCAGTCTTTTGGTTAAAACTTACAGATTAGATGAACATCAATGATGTGCCAGTGATTGCTATGATGTCAGCGCCGGCATCGCCTCACACACCAGAGTCACCACTTCTTCTCGCATAACACATATTATCGCAAATACTCTTTACTCTCATTTTTGTTGAATCCTTAATAACAATAATAATAATAATATATTTGGATATATAGTGTATATTAGTGTACATACATTCGGGTGCTCTCATCTCTGCTTCCCTCCCAGCGTTCAGTCATATACTTATTATAATTCCAATTAATGCCTTTTGCAAAGTCTTAAAAGTTTTTTATGAAATTTTTTACTCGTTTTATAAATTTAAAACTCTTATGAAGTTTTTATAGGTCTTTTGAGGATCGATGCGATTGTATGAGAAGGTGGGGGTAAAGTCATAATCAGCGGTGGAAGGGATGTAAAAATTTCATCACAAAATATTAACTTTAATATTATGCTTAAGATATGTATTATGTGTTGTGCTTAATATATTGTGAGGCATTAAACTATAGAATGTGTACTAGAATTTGACTTATATTATTCGGCTTAACGTTTTCATGCATTTATTATTCCTTGCTCTCTCTCTCTCTCTCTCTCTCTCTCTACTTCTAATTAGTTTGCGTTGAAAATGCAATTTAAACTATCGCATAGTTATTGCAGTTATGATTATTATTACTTTTATTATGGTACCTCATTGAATATGTATAGTGTATTCTTTGGTACATTATAGAGGTATACAAACGGAATAAAAGTATTTATTTTATTTAAAAATGAAAGAATAAATGTTAGAATTGATTGAATGATAATAATAAGCAATAAGTAATTTATAATGCATTGCCACAGAAAAGTGTATATCATTTAATCATTTGAATGACATTTTTCTGGTCATAACTGTTTCATTAGTCTATGTATTAGAGGCTTGACTTTGGTTTGCGTGTGTTTTTGGCGAAACTTTTATTGAATGTAAACATTTATGTTTGTTTTATAGCAAATAATTATCTTCCAATGGCAACCAATGCCAAAACCCATACACAACTCCGATTGCAATGAACTGAAATGCCAGCTCCGGGTCTGAACTTTGAGCCATTCTCTGCAAAAACAAGACATTTGCAAACGGCTATGACTTTTCTGGCAATAAGTATTTTTTTGCCCGAAATAATTATCTCACGTATAATAATGAATATATGAGTGGAAACGCCTTTATTTGCTTTATTTATTTTTAACTTCTTTTTTTCTGTGACTTAATGGAAGTTTTCGTCTATAATATTATGAATTATAACTCATATGTCGTCTAACTCTGCATATAATCTCCCAATGATTTGGTCTCACATTTGATGATTTGATAGATATTTAATGGTTTTAATGGACATATCATTAAATGAGTAGTGAATTGCACGACAACTAACTAAAAGACTAATACTGTTTCGTTGTGTTGAGTATTGTTTGGAGCGATTGAGAGCACAGATAACATACGCCAAGAGTCATATGCGAGAGAGAGAGAGAGAGAGAGAGAGAGAGAGAGAGCAAGGAATAATAAATGCATGAAAACGTTAAGCCGAATAATATAAGTCAAATTCTAGTACACAGACTGAACGCTGGGAGGGAAGGCATAGATGAGAGAGAGAGAGAGAGGCAAACATTTCCATCATTTTGATAATAGTCACAACACAGATGTGCTTAACCTAACTGTGAATGCATTGCATATCGAATAATAAGTTTAGTCTATCTGTGCTTTACTTATTGGGTTAGGACAGACGCGCCAACCCTTCGCCCGATTTGGCGGAAATTAGTCTCATTGGCGGTACATATACTTCATTGACTAATAAAATGTAGAAATTAAGACAAACAATACGACCCAATACTACCAGTGCTGTTAGTTTTTGTTTTCATCGCACACTTCATGTATTGTTTTCCGCCAAATTGTAGAGGAGATGAGAATTCATGATCAGAATCAACAAAA